CGCAAAAAAGGAAAACAAGATTAAAACACTGAAAACAAGATTAAAACACTGAAAAAACAAGATTAAAACACTGAAAACAAGATTAAAACACTGGAAAAACAAGATTAAAACACTGAAAACAAGATTAAAACACTGAAAACAAGATTAAAACACTGAAAACAAGATTAAAACACTAAATCTGAGGGAAAAAGGTCATAAAAACAAGATCAATGATCTGTCCATGCAGCAAGATCATTTCACTGAACAAGATTCCTTGAATGAAGATTGTTCAGTCTAGAAATAATCATGTATTTGGAAGATTAAAGTCAGACAAACATTAAATCTGACCCGAACATCCTCCAACAGTTTGACGTTCTTCTTCTTCTGAGTCGCTGTTTTTAAAAATCTCACCACCATCTTAACTCCGCCCACCGTCATTCACAGATATCTTCCTGTTCTTCCTCAGATAGGACCGACTCTCCCTCCCTTTCACGTCGATATTTAACATGGAGAGTGTTGGAGTTCGAGGAGTCGGACCACGCCATTTCAGCGTCCGAGCAAACGCCACAGTCTCCTTCAAGGTCACGGCTGAGCGTGGTGTATTTTTTAAAGGTCTCTCTGTCCATCAGTTCATCTGTGATCGTCTCATTCAGCTGAAGTCGGACCTCCTCCTCCTCCTCCTCCTCCTCCTCCTCCGGGTCATCTTCTGCAGGTTCTGGTTCTGCTCAGCGTCTCTCCCCTGAGACAAGGAGCTGAGACGAACAATGGCGAGACCACAACACGGCGGCCGAGAAATCCGTAGTATCCAAATCATTTACAAGTGCGAGTCAACATCTCGTTGGGAGCTCTCACCTCGTACGGAGGAGGTGTGAGGAGGCATCAGGAGGTGCAGCGAGGCTAGAAAAACAGCAAGAAGGAGGTGTGTGCAAGATGGACAGAATGTGCCGCCGCTTCTGTCTCTCCGCGCTCGCCGCCTCTGACGTGTGAATCGCAGACGTTAAGAGGAAAAACGCACACGCATGTGGTTACACGTTTTGGAGGCAGCGGTCGGAGTGTGAGGCATGAATCACACACACACACACACACACACACACACACACACGCACGCACACACACACACACACGCACACACACACACACACACACACACACACACACGGACAGCAGCAACAGACCACAGGAAGTTTGAACTAAGACTAAACATATCCTTTCAGAATAAAACGGATCAGACTCATCAGTCAAAAAGAAACAGGAAACCGGGTCAGAACCCGAGCTGATGATGTTCTGGGTTCAGGGTGACGGACGCCGGCGCCGTCGGTACCAAAGAGTCCGTAAGTGAAAAACTCAAAGAGCGAGAAAAAGAGAGGAAGAAGAATTTGGTTTGTGAGGTTTGGAAAATATAATTAGAGACGCTGAGGGAAGAGGAGGAGCCAAGGACACACACACTGACACACAGACACACTGACACACACAGACACACACACACTGACACACAGACACAGACACACACCTGGGGAGTGTGGAGTCGGTGCTCTCTCTCTCCTCTTTGGCCAGAGGCTGGTAAATAATGGATGTGTTGGTGGAAGCTGAGGCAGTTTGAAATGTAAATGTGACGTGTGTGTGTGTGTGTGTGTGTGTGTGTGTGTGTGTGTGAGTGTGTGTGTGTGTGTGTGTGTGTGTGTGTGTGTGTGTGTGTGTGTGAGAAAGAGAGAGGCTGTCACTTGTGGCTGGAGCTGGTTGTGTGTCTGGACTAGTGATGGTCGGTCCTCCCTGAAGGGAACGAGGGAGAGAGGTGAGAGGACTCTTAAGAGGAGGGAGGAGAGGACGCAAGGAAGGAAAGGAAACAAGGGGAATAGGAACCAATTTCTCCTGTTTTCAGAGTCTTTAAGTTTCCACTGTAATCTTCTCTCCAACAACCTTCTCTTCTGTTTGTCTCCAATAGTCAGGAAATCTTCACATGAGAAAAATAACTGTTCAAATCAGTTCTAGTCTCATCCAAAGGAATCTTGTTTTCAGATTCAGTAAGCCTTGTTTCAAGATCAGCCTGCTTGGATTGAGACAGAGTTTAGTCATTCTTCACTAATACTGGGTATTTTTTCTCTACATTTCTATTTTTGGTTGAACTAATCTTCAGCTTCATTTGATCAAAGGAAGAAAAATAAATATGTCATTGATTAGATTTAGTCGATTTCACTGATTTTAGGGCTGGAAAAGTGACATTTTAATCATCTGATCTTAAACCAGCATGTTTGTCTGACTTTAATCTTCCAAATACATTTGTAGACATGATTATTTCTAGACTGAACAATCTTCATTCAAGAAATCTTGTTTAGTGAAATGATCTTGCTGCATGGACAGATCATTTATCTTGTTTTTAGGACCTTTTCTCTCAGATTTAGTGTTTTTATCTTGTTTTATCTTATTTTATCTTGTGTTTATCTTGTTTTCATCTTGTTTTATCTTGTTATTTATCTTGTTTTTATCTTGTTTTCATCTTGTTTTTATCTTGTTTTTTATTTAATCTTGTTTTTATCTTGTTTTAATCTTGTTTTAATCTTATTTAATCTTGTTTTCATCTTGTGTTTATCTTGTTTTCATCTTGTTTTCAAAATGTTTATCTTTTTTTTAGTGTTTTTATCTTGTTTTCAGTGTGTTTATCTTGATTATTTCTTGTTTTTAGTGTTTTTATCTTGTTTTTTATCCTGTTTTTATTTTGTTTTTATCCTGTTTTTATCTAGTTTTCATCTTGTTTTTAGACCTGTTTCCCTCATATTTAGTGTTTTTATCTTGTTTTTAACTTGTTTTTATCTTGTTTTTGTCTTATTTGATCTTGTTTTTATCTTGTTTTTAACCTATTTTTAAGTTTTTATCTTATTTTATCTTGTTTTCAGTGTTTTTATCTTGTTTTTAGTGTTTTTATCTTGATTTTATCTTGTTTTTAGTGTTTTTATCTTGTTTTTATCTTGTTTTTAGACCCCCTTTTTTGCAGTGGTTTACTCTGCGGTCTCAGACTGGATCCAGTAGACCTGCTGGTCCCTGAAGAACCATTGAGCTCCCAGATGCCTGATGCAGCGGTGGAGGTCAGATCCAACATATGGCTCAGAGTGTGTGTGTGTGTGTGTGTGTGTGTGTGTGTGTGTGTGTGTGTGTGTGTGTGTGTGTGTGTGAGTGTGTGTGTGTGTGTGTGTGTGTGTGTGTGTAGAGGAGTGTGAGCTGCCAGCTGGCCCAGACATGACAGAGAGAGAGGATGAATGAGAGAGAGAGAGAGAGAGAGGGAAAAAAGGAGGAGAGGAAGGAAGGATGGAGGAGGGACAGAAGGAGGCAGCAGAGAAGGATGGAGGGAGCGAGGTGGGAAGGTGAAAAGGATGGAGGAGAGAAACAAACGTGGAGAAACTGGCATCTGCTGCTGCCCTCCAACCCCCGCCATCACCGCCACCGCCACCGCCACTGTCACCGACAGCAGCAGAGAGAGTGTGTGTGTGTGTGTGAGTGTGTGTGTGTGAGTGAGGAAGTGTGTGTGTGTGTGAGTGAGTGAGGAAGTGTGTGTGTGTGAGAGTGTGTGTAGAGATAAGACGGAGGAAAGGGCCCAGATGGTCTGAGGGGAGAGTGACAAGTGGCTGTCAGGGGATTCAGACAGGCTGGCCCTCTGCTGCCCTGCTGCCACACACACACACACACACACACACACACACACACACACACACACAAACGTGCGCGCACACACATACACGCACACACGTGTGCGCACACACACATGCACACACACCTCAGTGTCTTTGTCAGACCTGTTCACCCTGCAGCATCTCTGGTGTTTCAGAAAAATGAGATTTTTTTGTTTTTTTAATTCCTTCCTTCCTATCTTCCTTTCTGCCTTCCTCTCCTTTTTCCTTCCTTCATTCCTCCCCTCCTTCATTCTTCCTTCCTTCCTTCCTTCCTTCCTGTCACATGTCTGTTTTGTCTGATTCTGTCTGAATATTTTAACGGACGTCATCTGGGTCACTAACTAACGCTCATCATCGTAACTCTATCTGGGTCAGGTTATGGTGGGTTTAAACGGGCGGGTCGTACTCCGTGGTTCCGGTCCAAACTCCTCCATCATCAGAACTCTGAACACGTTTTTCTTCTTCTTTGTGTCAAATTTCTGTCCCACTTTCAGACTCTCCAGAGTTTTAACACGACATGTGCGCTGACCGACTGGGCGGCAGAGGGACGCCACGACCAGCCCGAGAGTGTGTGTGAGTGTGTGTCTGTGTGTGTGTGTGCGCGTCCTGGGACCCAGTGTTAATGGATAAAGCCTGCAGAAACACACACACACAGACACAGACACACACACACACACACACACACACACACACACCTCTATCTGTCTTTATGGGTCACACACTCGTCTTCCCAAACACCCTTAATACCCTTTATCTCTCGCCCTCTCTCTACATCTTTCTCTGTGTGTGGCTGTGGCGTGGACACACACACACACACACTCACACACACACACACACACACACACTCACACACACACACACTCACACACACACACACTCCCGTACCCTCTGCCGATTCCTCGCCTCTTTTTCCCGAGGAGTTTCCCGCTCGCCGTCCTCCTCCTGAAACGAGGAAATGAAGGATGGGACTTTGGGCTCCGAGGCCGCGACCCTCACCGTCCCGCAGCAAGGCACCCTGGGATGCAGCGGTGGAGGTCAGATCCAGCATATGGCTCAGAGTGGGGGTCTCCCTCATCGAGAAGGATGGCGTGTGAGTGTGTGTGTGTGTGAGTGTGTATTTGTGAATGTGTGTGTGTGTGTGAAAGTAAAAGAGCAAAAAGAGAGAAACTGTGGAGAGGCTGAGGGTGTGAGAGAGAGAGAGAGAGAGAGAGAGAGAGGGTGAGAAAAAGAGCAAGTGTGTGTGTGTGTGTGTGTGTGTGTGTGTGTGTGTGAAAGTAAAAGAGCAAAAAGAGAGAAACTGTGGAGAGGCTGAGGGTGTGAGAGAGAGAGAGAGAGAGAGAGAGAGAGGGTGAGAAAAAGAGCAAGTGTGTGTGTGTGTGTGTGTGTGTGTGTGTGTGTGTGTGTGTGTGTGAGGGACAGCTCGTCCTTCAGGCTCACCTCACCCCCCCCACCCCCCACGGGGTCTTTCTTCTCGGCGGTGGCGGCGGCGTTTTACTGGCCCCAGCTGACGACCATGAAATAGAGGAAAGGACTGAAGGCAGTGAGGACATCTCCTTCCCTTCCTTCCTCTCCTTGTTTCCTTTCCTTCCTCCATTTTTCCCCACTCCCACATCCTTCCTTCCTTTTTCTGCTCTTTGTCTCCACTCTGTTTGTCTTTTTGTCCCAACGGTCTTTCCATCCATTCCATCTTTCCTTCCTTCCTTCCTTCCTTCCTTCCTTTCTTTCTTCCCTTATTTCCACCCTCTGTAGCAGATGTTGCTCCTTCCTTCCTTCCTTCCCCCTTCCTTCCTTTCCTTATTTCCACCCTCTGAAGCAGATGTTGCTCCTTCCTTCCTTCCTTCCTTCCTTCCTTTCCTTATTTCCACGCTCTGAAGCAGATGTTGCTCCTTCCTTCCTTCCTTCCTTCCTTCCTTTCCTTATTTCCACCCTCTGAAGCAGATGTTGCTCCTTCCTTCCTTCCTTCCTTCCTTCCTTTCCTTATTTCCACGCTCTGAAGCAGATGTTGCTCCTTCCTTCCTTCCTTCCTTCCTTCCTTTCCTTATTTCCACCCTCTGAAGCAGATGTTGCTCCTTCCTTCCTTCCTTCCTTCCTTTCCTTATTTCCACCCTCTGTAGCAGATGTTGCTCCTTCCTTCCTTCCTTCCTTTCCTTATTTCCACCCTCTGTAGCAGATGTTGCTCCTTCCTTCCTTCCTTCCTTCCTTCCCCCTTCCTTCCTTTCCTTATTTCCACCCTCTGAAGCAGATGTTGCTCCTTCCTTCCTTCCTTCCTTCCTTCCCTCCTTCCCTTATTTCCACCCTCTGAAGCAGATGTTGCTCCTTCCTTCCTTCCCCCCTTCCTTCCTTTCCTTATTTCCTCCCTCTGTAGCAGATGTTGCTCCTTCCTTCCTTCCTTCCTTCCTTCCCTCCTTCCCTTATTTCCACCCTCTGAAGCAGATGTTGCTCCTTCCTTCCTTCCTTCCTTCCCTCCTTTCCTTATTTCCTCCCTCTGTAGCAGATGTTGCTCCTTCCTTCCTTCCTTCCTTCCTTCCCTCCTTCCCTTATTTCCACCCTCTGAAGCAGATGTTGCTCCTTCCTTCCTTCCTTCCTTCCTTTCCTTATTTCCACCCTCTGTAGCAGATGTTGCTCCTTCCTTCCTTCCTTCCTTTCCTTATTTCCACCCTCTGAAGCAGATGTTGCTCCTTCCTTCCTTCCTTCCTTCCTTTCCTTATTTCCACCCTCTGTAGCAGATGTTGCTCCTTCCTTCCTTCCTTCCTTCCCTTATTTCCACCCTCTGAAGCAGATGTTGCTCCTTCCTTCCTTCCTTCCTTCCCTCCTTTCCTTATTTCCTCCCTCTGTAGCAGATGTTGCTCCTTCCTTCCTTCCTTCCTTCCTTCCCTCCTTCCCTTATTTCCACCCTCTGAAGCAGATGTTGCTCCTTCCTTCCTTCCTTCCTTTCCTTATTTCCACCCTCTGTAGCAGATGTTGCTCCTTCCTTCCTTCCTTCCTTCCCTTATTTCCACCCTCTGAAGCAGATGTTGCTCCTTCCTTCCTTCCTTCCTTCCCTCCTTTCCTTATTTCCTCCCTCTGTAGCAGATGTTGCTCCTTCCTTCCTTCCTTCCTTCCTTCCCTCCTTTCCTTATTTCCACCGTCTGAAGCAGATGTTGCTCCTTCCTTCCTTCCTTCCTTCCCTTATTTCCACCCTCTGAAGCAGATGTTGCTCCTCTCTTCCTTCCTTCCTTCCTTCCTTCCTTCCTTCCTTCCCTTATTTCCACCCTCTGAAGCAGATGTTGCTCCTTCCTTCCTTCCTTCCTTCCTTTCCTTATTTCCTCCCTCTGTAGCAGATGTTGCTCCTTCCTTCCTTCCTTCCTTCCTTCCCTCCTTCCCTTATTTCCACCCTCTGAAGCAGATGTTGCTCCTTCCTTCCTTCCTTCCTTCCTTCCTTCCTTCCTTCCTTCCTTTCCTTATTTCCACCCTCTGAAGCAGATGTTGCTCCTTCCTTCCTTCCTTCCTTCCTTTCCTTATTTCCACCCTCTGTAGCAGATGTTGCTCCTTCCTTCCTTCCTTCCTTCCTTCCTTTCCTTATTTCCACCCTCTGTAGCAGATGTTGCTCCTTCCTTCCTTCCTTCCTTCCTTCCTTCCCCTCCTCCTTTCCTTATTTCCACCCTCTGAAGCAGATGTTGCTCCTTTCTTCCTTCCTTCCTTCCTTCCTTCCCTTCTTCCTTCCCTCCTTTCCTTATTTCCACCGTCTGAAGCAGATGTTGCTCCTTCCTTCCTTCCTTCCTTCCCTTATTTCCACCCTCTGAAGCAGATGTTGCTCCTCTCTTCCTTCCTTCCTTCCTTCCTTCCTTCCTTCCTTCCTTCCTTCCTTCCTTCCCTTATTTCCACCCTCTGAAGCAGATGTTGCTCCTTCCTTCCTTCCTTCCTTCCTTCCTTCCCTCCTTTCCTTATTTCCACCCTCTGAAGCAGATGTTGCTCCTTCCTTCCTTCCTTCCTTCCTTCCTTCCTTCCTACATGGACTCTGTGTGTGTGTGTGTGTGTGTGTGTGTGCGTGCGTGTGTGTGTTTGTGTGTGTGTGTGTGTGTGTCTGTGTGTGTGTGTGTGTGTCTGTGTGTGTGTATTTCAGTCTGTGTAAATTCATTTCTGCATGAACAATTCTCAGAGTATTAATTTGGAGCTGCTAATCCTTTTACCCTCCTCCCTCCTCCTGCTCCCAACGCTGAAAACCTCACACACAAACAAACACACACTCTCACACACAGACACACACAAACACACACTCACACACACACACACACACACACACACACAAACACACACTCACACACACACACACACACACACACACACAAACATCTCTAACTGTAAGAGAGTTTGATGCTCAGATGAACTCACACTAACTTCGGAATCAGAAGATTATTAGTCAAAGTTATTATTAAAATTAAAAAACACAAATTAAATAATTACAAACACCAACAATGACAGGAAGAAGTTTCTGTCAGAGAGTCGAGGATTTGTTTTTCCTTTCAAACACGCTGTAATCGTCCAGTTTTTTTATTTTTTTTTTTTTTGTCTGAAAACATCAACTGATATATCTGTGAGGGAAAAGTTCAGGAGGTCCTACCAGCCTGCTAAGGTCACGAGTGAAGGGTGATGATGATGGTGATGGTGATGATGGTGATGATGATGATGATGATGATGGTGATGATGATGGTGATGGTGATGGTGATGATGATGGTGATGGTGATGGTGATGGTGATGATGGTGATTGAGGAGAATCTTGATTGTTGGAGGTAAAGCCTCTGTTAGCTCGCCATGGAGAATCGTATCCTGGGAGAAACCTGACCTGATGGACCAGATCAGAACAACCATTTAAACTGAACAAGAACTGAAATGTATGAACACATGAGTCACTACAACAAATACAACAAATACAACAAATACAAATACAGTCCCTGAACACTTGGAAACCCATAATGTAGGTACTGCGGTGAAGTTAGTTTCAGGTTGGATATATTTTCCTGTAAATACAGCGGTGAAGTTAGTTTCAGGTTGGATATATTTTCCTGTAAATACAGCGGTGAAGTTAGTTTCAGGTTGGATATATTTTCCTGTAAATACGGCGGTGAAGTTAGTTTCAGGTTGGATATATTTTCCTGTAAATACGGCGGTGAAGTTAGTTTCAGGTTGGATATATTTTCCTGTAAATACGGCGGTGAAGTTAGTTTTAGGTTGGATATATTTTCCTGTAAATACGGCGGTGAAGTTAGTTTTAGGTTGGATATATTTTCCTGTAAATACGGCGGTGAAGTTAGTTGTAGGTTGGATATATTTTCCTGTAAATACGGCGGTGAAGTTAGTTTCAGGTTGGATATATTTTCCTGTAAATACGGCGGTGAAGTTAGTTTTAGGTTGGATATATTTTCCTGTAAATACGGCGGTGAAGTTAGTTTTAGGTTGGATATATTTTCCTGTAAATACGGCGGTGAAGTTAGTTTTAGGTTGGATATATTTTCCTGTAAATACGGCGGTGAAGTTAGTTTTAGGTTGGATATATTTTCCTGTAAATACAGCGGTGAAGTTAGTTTCAGGTTGGATATATTTTCTTGTAAATATGGCGGTGAAGTTAGTTTCAGGTTGGATATATTTCCCTGTAAATACGGCGGTGAAGTTAGTTTCAGGTTGGATATATTTTCCTGTAAATACGGCGGTGAAGTTAGTTTCAGGTTGGATATATTTTCCTGTAAATACGGCGGTGAAGTTAGTTTCAGGTTGGATATATTTTCCTGTAAATACGGCGGTGAAGTTAGTTTCAGGTTGGATATATTTTCCTGTAAATACGGCGGTGAAGTTAGTTTCAGGTTGGATATATTTTCCTGTAAATACGGCGGTGAAGTTAGTTTTAGGTTGGATATATTTTCCTGTAAATACGGCGGTGAAGTTAGTTTCAGGTTGGATATATTTTCCTGTAAATACGGCGGTGAAGTTAGTTTCAGGTTGGATATATTTTCCTGTAAATACGGCGGTGAAGTTAGTTTCAGGTTGGATATATTTTCCTGTAAATACGGCGGTGAAGTTAGTTTCAGGTTGGATATCTGACGGACATTCTCTGAGGATCTACCGGTGTCTTCTCACTCTCCATAACCAGGAATAACAACAGCAGCGCGGTTAAATCTACTCGACACCCTCACTGTCAACGTCGGTGTTGAATAAGGGACCGTCAATAAATTACCGGTTGATGTTCTCAGAAAAGGCTGTTTTCCTTCAATAGCTTCACTGTCATGTGACCAAAAGACCTAAAACTGATTTCTAATAATAATACTAAGGTTGATCAATAAGACAAACATTATTGATCAGTTTTCATTGATCCCCTAAAGTTCTTTATGCTCCTTACTTTTTTAACTTAGAGACAGCTCATAATGTAATAACAACTGATGATGTAATAACAGCTCATTAATAACAGCTCATTGATTACAGCTGATAATGCAATAATGTAAGAACAGCTCATAGTGTAATAATGTAATAACAGCTGATATTGTAATAACCACTGATGATTAAACATGTTTAAAGTATCCTCCTGGTTCAGTTTAGGGTAAAGATTACTGATTAATGTTCCTAAAGTCGACAGAAACTCCTTTAAATCTGTTGACATGGGAGACAACAAACACAAGAAATAGCTAAAAAGAGTTAAAACACAAAATAACGCAAATATAAATCTAAATACACAGAATATTTTAAACTAAAGTGGTGGATGGCTCAGTTTAACAAAGATATTCATTAAATCCACGGGGAAAAGAACGCTTTTATTATATTCTGTTTATATTAAGCAGCATCAGTAAGACTAATATTAACGGAATAACTACATCATGCACAGAGGCGTTATTACATTATGAGCTGTTATAACACCTTTACAACAAACTCCATGTCATTACTCAGTCATCTTAATCCACAGGTATCCATTTTAACTACATTATGAGCCGTTATTATTACATTATGAGTTACTATAACACCTTTAAATCTCATTCATTAGTCATTTTAATCCACAGGTGTTAATTTTGACTCACCAAATCTCGTTCAGTATAATCCGAAATTATCCGTGGTCGAGTTTAAACTGTCCTCCTGGTTATTTCAGCGGGAGTTTAATTCATAAATGAGGTTTAATTGATGTTTCTGCGGTTTTAAACTAAGTTTGAGTAACTCTGTTCTCTGATATTCTCCATCCACCGTCTGTGTCCCTCTTCCTGCTTCAAACTGCTGCGTGTGAGCGTCCATTGGCTGGAAGAGCTCACGCGAGATTTAGAACGTGATTAAACGTGATTTGATCAAACTCCGCTGATTTTATGGATTTGAGTTTCACAAAATAATTAACAATTTAAAACAAAATAACAATAAATTATTTCAACACAACATGATCAGTTTGGTTGATTTTTTTTTTATCCTTTTTACCCATAAATTATTATAATTATTTTTTTTAGATATTAATCTCGTCATTTTGTGACCTGGGTTACACTGACTCACACTGACTCACACTGACTCACATTTACTGACACTTGTCCTCTCTGTGGTCGATCTCCTGATAATTCTGATCTAATTCAGTGACTGTTGATCCTCGACTGTCTGTGAAAAAGCTTGAAGTGATTTTCCAGTTTGTGTTTTTTCAGGTTTATTCATGTTTAATAAAGTAAACTCTGTTCCTTTCTGCTGTTCCCTTCAGACAGAGTTAGCAGGTCAAAGTCCTGTTGGGGTCCACATGGATCAGGGATCGACCATTGGATTGTTCTGTGTTACTGATAAATCCAGAACCAGGAAGGATTTCTCATCTACATCAACTGATACACAGTCAGGAGTTCACAGATCAGGGATAACAAGTCTCAGAAAATCACATGAGATGGGATTGGTTATCTTGGTCAGCCAATCAGAACTTGAACTACGGCGAGCCAAGTTTATTATCATGAAAAAAAAGCTGTAAAATTAAAAACCAGAGTAAAAAAAACTTAAAAACATTTAAAAGTTTTTCAGAAAATCAAAAGAAAAAGTCTGTTTACCACCTGAAAGACGAGCTGAGAGAGTTTCACCTGAAACGTCCTGATAAATGTGTGTGTCTGTGTGTGTGTGTGTGTGTGTGTGTGTGTGTGTGTCTGTGTCTGTGTGTGTGTGTGTGTGTGTGTACAGTCTCCAGCATGTCAGCCGTGAAAGGCCTCTACACGCCGTTTGAGCTCTCCTGAGTGAGAGAAGTGTGACAAACAGCTCAACAGGCTTTGGCACGCCAGCTGTCCAGAGGGGATGCACACGCACACACACACACACGCACACACACACACACACACACACACACAGGTCCATTCACATGTATATGATCATACACACACACACACACACACCCTCTGCTGCCAAGCGTGGCGGTAATCTTCAGTAATGCCATCGGTTCTGGGGGGCAGAGCATCCCTACGATGCCAGCGGCCACACAACATCATGTGGCGCCCTGCCTTCCCACAATCCTCCTCTCCACAGGCGGCCAATCCGCTGTCGGACAAGAAGAAATTGACTTTTCTGGCATTGGGGGGGGGGGGGCTTACATGAGGCCAAAAAACAGTTTGGCTTCATGTAAACGCAGCTCCTCTGTTGCCATGGTGATTCTGATCAACAAACACCATTAATGTGCAAACCTGTTCATTACACTAACACTAATACACACTAACCCACACTAACACTAATACACACTAACTCAACCCACACTAACCCACACTAACCCACACTAACCCACACTAACTCACACTAATACACACTAATACACACTAACACTAATACACACTAATACACACTAACACTAATACACACTAACTCAACCCACACTAACCCACACTAACTCACACTAATACACACTAATACACACTAAACCACACTAACTCACACTAATACACACTAATACACACTAACACTCATACACACTAACTCAACCCACACTAACCCACACTTACTCACACTAATACACAATAATACACACTAAGTCACACTGACTCACACTAACTCACACTGACTCACACTCACACTGACTCACACTGACTCACACTCACACTAACTCACACTGACTCACACTGACTCACACTGACTCGCACTCACACTAACTCACACTGACTCAGACTGACTCACACTGACTCACACTCACACTGACTCACACTGACTCACACTCACACTGACTCACACTGACTCACACTCACACTAACTCACACTGACTCACACTGACTCACACTCACACTAACTCACTGACTCACACTGACTCACACTCACACTGACTCACACTGACTCACACTCACACTAACTCACACTGACTCACACTGACTCACTCACACTAACTCACACTGACTCACACTCACACTGACTCACACTGACTCGCACTCACACTAACTCACACTGACTCACACTGACTCACACTGACTCACACTCACACTGACTCACACTCACACTGACTCACACTGACTCAAACTCACACTAACTCACACTGACTCACACTGACTCACACTCACACTAACTCACACTGACTCACACTGACTCACACTCACACTGACTCACACTGACTCACACTAACTCACACTGACTCACTCTGACTCACACTGACTCACACTCACACTAACTCACACTGACTCACACTGACTCGCACTCTCACTAACTCACACTGACTCAGACTGACTCACACTGACTCACACTCACACTGACTCACACTGACTCACACTCACACTGACTCACACTGACTCACACTCACTAACTCACACTGACTCACACTCACACTAACTCACACTGACTCACACTGACTCACACTCACACTGACTCACACTGACTCACACTCACACTGACTCACACTGACTCACACTCACACTGACTCACACTCACACTAACTCACACTGACTCACACTGACTCACACATAAACTAACTCACACTGACTCACACTCACACTGACTCACACTGACTCACACTGACTCACACTCACACTGACTCACACTGACTCACACTCACACTGACTCACACTGACTCACACTGACTCACACTCACACTGACTCACACTGACTCACACTCACACTGACTCACACTGACTCACACTCACACTAACTCACACTGACTCACACTGACTCACACTGACTCACACTCACACTGACTCACACTCACACTGACTCACACTGACTCACACTCACACTGACTCACACTGACTCACACTCACACTGACTCACACTGACTCACACTCACACTGACTCACACTGACTCACACTCACACTGACTCACACTGACTCACACTCACACTAACTCACACTGACTCACACTCACACTGACTCACACTGACTCGCACTCACACTAACTCACACTGACTCACACTGACTCACACTCACACTGACTCACACTGACTCACACTGACTCACACTGACTCACACTCACACTAACTCACACTGACTCACACTCACACTGACTCACACTGACTCACACTCACACTGACTCACACTGACTCACACTGACTCAGACTGACTCACACTCACACTGACTCACACTGACTCACACTCACACTGACTCACACTGACTCACACTCACACTGACTCACACTGACTCACACTCACACTGACTCACACTGACTCACACTCACACTAACTCACACTGACTCACACTGACTCACACTGACTCACACTCACACTGACTCACACTCACACTGACTCACACTCACACTGACTCACACTGACTCACACTCACACTGACTCACACTGACTCACACTGACTCACACTCACACTGACTCACACTGACTCACACTCACACTGACTCACACTGACTCACACTCACACTGACTCACACTGACTCACACTCACACTAACTCACACTGACTCACACTCACACTGACTCACACTGACTCGCACTCACACTAACTCACACTGACTCACACTGACTCACACTCACACTGACTCACACTGACTCACACTCACACTAACTCACACTGACTCACACTCACACTGACTCACACTGACTCACACTCACACTGACTCACACTGACTCACACTGACTCACACTCACACTGACTCACACTGACTCACACTCACACTGACTCACACTGACTCACACTCACACTGACTCACACTGACTCACACTGACTCACACTCACACTGACTCACACTGACTCACTCACACTGACTCACACTGACTCACACTGACTCACACTGACTCACACTCACACTGACTCACACTCACACTGACTCACACTGACTCACACTGACTCACACTCACACTGACTCACAATCACACTGACTCACACTCACACTGGCTCACACTGACTTACACTCACACTGACTCACACTGACTCACACTCACACTGACTCAGACTGACTCACACTCACACTGACTCACACTGA